GAAAAAAAAAACAGTAGGCCAATTATTAAAATGGTTATTAAACTGATGTAGGATACTTTTACTTTACTATACTATAATACCTTTTAAGGCTGAGTATTCAAAAAAACTCCATAGAAAAAACTTGGGAGAGATTTTGTTAGCATAAGTAATAACAGACCTGAATCCTAAAAAATGGATAATATTTTTTTTCTTTTAAGTTGTAAAATAATTCGACTCATATTTTTATAAAAGAAATATTTTGACTAAACATAATGAAACCAACACATTTATTGCGTTCTAAATATCTTGTTCTTCTTAACCCAAAAGATAATTTAAAATTTTTTTTAATGTTTGCACTGTTTTTGCCAGTTTGTATAACACCACCAGCAGCAACAACAACCACTTTATGGGACAATCTCCTGCTGGCGGCGCATAATTTGCTGGATACTTTGATATATGGATTTGGAGATTTTGAAATTCATTAATATAAATAAAAAAAATTCGAATCTTTTAAATTTGTTTATTATTGTTACAAACCAGGGAACGTAACTGTTATAAGTTTTATTTATTTAAAACACACTTTAACAGTTATTTTCGATTTGTAAAGTAAAACTCAAAGAATAATTTTATAATTTGAATAAATTATTAGTAAAAAAATAAACGTGATCAAAATAAAACAAACTTGATTTATGGCGATTTTGTGGTAAACAAAATTTTAAAAAATATAGGTATAAAATATCAGTTTTTTAACAAATTTTTAAATTATTAAATTATTTCTTTTTTAAATTTCATTTGTTTGACAAAATGTAAGAAAAAATAGTTATACTATTTTTTTGTATGAAAAATTTACAATAACAGTTATTTTCGTTCCCTGTTACAAACCATAACAACATAATTTCTTGAAACTTTTATTCACAAAATGTGCAAATAGACATAAATTGATAAGACATTGATAAAATTTAAAAATGTACCTTTTTTTATTTTTAGATGTTGTCTTTGTGTTGTCGACCAATTTTACGATCTTTCAAATATTATGTTAACTAAAAAAGGTATCAATGTATCGAACCTCTCTTTCGAGTAACACAATTTCTCCTTCCCCTGAATTATACACATACACATATATTTTTTTTACTGTTTTGTTCTGCTGTTGTTTTGAATGCAGCCGCCGTTGGCGGTGGTCCCCCTTTCCCATTCCTGGTTAAAATCATCGCCCCCCCTGAATCTCGGCCCTCATGCCTCGCATGCTGGTTGTTATTGTGGATTGTTGTTGTTGTGGGATGTTGTTTACGTTTTTGTGATGCCCTTTTGGAGTTGGCCGCCCAACAGCGAGACAACATCAACAAAAACAACAGCAACAGCATTCAAAGTTGGTGAATGCTATCGGACAAACTGGTTGCGCGATTGGTTACCTTTCATTATATAGCAATTTATCGGTTCTGTGTGTGCAATATATGCAAACCTTACAGTTTGGGTCTTAGATAAGGATATCCTCGTCGTCCTAACCTAACATTTGCTGCCTGTTTTGGGCTTGGCTTCTTTTTCTGACTTATCCTGCGTCTCATCTTTGGGTTCTACTCAAGTTTATTGCGGTTTCTGTTTTTGCACTGTCTCTTCTTTCTTGTTTTTCTTTATTTTTACAGCTATTGTTGCATTTGTCGCATTTCTGTGGTTTTTTGGGTGACAAAAAAGTTGTGCCTTGAATACCCTTTTGATTTTTATTGGCTAACTTACAAACTGTAAAAACAAATGTAATATTTAAAAATATTGAACATTTGAAAAAAGCGTACATCACTGCGTATACGTGATTTTCGTAACAAATGCTCTCACGATCTCAGGGTATTTAAATATTCGACAATCCACAGGTGCTGGTTGCTTTTCTCAACTCTTTTGCGAATTCCTTTTTCCCAAGCAGGACACACGTTTCGAGTGGTAACCACAAAAAAAAAGCATCAACAAAAATAATGAATTCCTTCTTTGGGTTTTAACCTCAAATTGGCTTAACTTCATTTATTTCATTGCAATGCAGTCTACATGGGGTTGGGACCACGACAAACGGGTTAAGATAACAAAAACTGGCGAAATTTTTCACTTTTGCGGTTTGTCATGGGGGATTTAAGGAGCGACGGGGTGGCACCCTTTTGGCCAAGTCGCGAGCCACAGTTAATCGCCTGAGCTTCTTGGCCAGCTAAGCCTGACAAACTGACACCCTTTGAAGGGGAAAGAGGGGGCCGAAGTTCCAGTGCTTATGAAGATTCTTTACATTGCTTAAATATATACGGATTCTTGGCAATAAGTTAAAAGCTACAATGTAACCAAAAAGGTATTAATGGTAAGGAGAGATCGTTAATTATTAGGAGTATAAGAATTGCATGTGCTAATAACATTATATTTTAGAAATGAATAAGTCTATAAATGTGGGTATTAGAAATTGTTCAGTAAATCAAATTTGAAAACTAAACTTTAATAGACTTACCACTAAACATTTAAATTTAATTATAAACGGTGTAACAAATTAATAGGATTAAATAAATTTTGTTAAAAAGGTTTTACTAACGCTGATTGAATTTAATTTATTAAAGATCTGTCAAATTAAAAATGTTTTTGTGCTTAAAGACGTAAATTTATCAAATTTGAACTGTATTGAATATTTTTTATATTAATTATTTTGGTTCCCTTGTAACAGACAGTATTTTATATTTTAAAGTTTCCGAACATTACTTTCTTTGAACCAGAATTAAAAAAAAAAATTCAATGGGGCAATCACGCCGCTTCGAAAGTTTGGGAGTATTGGACACGTTCGAACCAAAGGGAGTGGAATAACCTTGGGATCGGGACTGAAACTGATCAATATTCCGCAATATAATTTCGTGGTCAGTTGGCAGCCACGATCGTGGCTCTCGGCAATCGAAGCTCTTGAGCATCGGCAGCATACACACAAAATGTTGCAGGAGGCCACTGAAATTACATCAAATTATGCTGAAATGCGAGCTAAATATGCGGCGGCGAATTTCGTTTTCGAGGCTACATAATTCGTTCAACTCTAAAAACTCCAGACCCATTGTGAGCTTATCGCCCAGCCAATTTCCAGCATCTCTACGCGTAGTTTCTTTGCTTTCGGTTTGCCTGTCTTATTTTTTCGGTGCATGTGCAGCAAGGAGCCAGAGCAACAGCCATGAATGCCGTGGCACAAAATTGAGGCTGTGTATTGGGCATGAAATATTTTTAACGCTCCAATGGCAAAAGCCTCTTGCGCTCACACAGTCACACAAAATATATTTTATTGCATTTTAATGTGCCACTGAAATGGGATTTAATTGGCATTGTTGCGGTGCACATCGTGGAAACTACGGCTGCACATTGATTCCGATTTGTGTTCACGTGTGGAACCCGTGGAGCCAAGTACCCGACTTCCCCAACTAACTAACCGCATTTATGGGTTCTGTTGATAAACCGAATTAGAACTGTCGCACAATCTGCTTTCGTCAGGCGTCCTCTGCATTTAAAGAAGCTCTAGCCCTTAACAATTTACCGAATTTAAAATTGGTATTTTACGAATTTCCTAATCTTGCTAAATTTTCGGTGAGTAAAGCTATGAGCTATCAAATTCTGTTGAAAATTATATGTTTATCATAAGCTGATAAACTATATGCATAGTTTAACTGGGTATTAACCAAAATTCGTATCACAGTTGGTGGAATATCAAACAAAATATAATTTAATACTAAGTAATGAGATTATATTAAGTTTAAGTACATTAATATTAAAACTTTAATTATTTAACTGTGTACTTATATTTTCTTTAAAGCCTTAAAATTACAAAAGTTTTATAAATTTGTAAACTACCTCTAAAACGAGATGTGTGTAATATTATTCTGATAATAACTTAGTCCTTCTCTTTTCCATTGTGGAATTGAAATATCCTCGCACCTCTTTATCGATCTGGCCGCGAATTTGTCCCACGGTTGGCCAAGACTAGACTTTGGACTAGTTGCACTCAGCTGGCTCCTCCGATGAAGATCCGGATCGGGTCTGGCGGCTGTCTGGTCGGGTTGTGTGGCGCTCCATTGGTCCCTTGGCTTTTACTGTGGGATGGATTTGCTTTAATTAAATTCATTCTCACAGTGTGTGCAACATGTGGCCGAATGGATCGCTGGAAGTTGGGAGTCAAAGTCGCCAGCGGAATGCAGCCGAGGCAGTGCTTGGATTCAGAGTTGAGTCTTCGGGCCGCAGTCTCCCGCTTCGATTCCTGCCGTCTATTGCGTAGTCACTCCTCCATCTCCTTCTCCTTTTTGGACCGGGGTCTGGTTTTATTTCCTACCTACACTGGGGCCCTTTAAACTCTTGCGACTTGCGACTTTGGCTGGGCCTCCTGGCCCTTAGTGCTCGTTCTTGGTCGTCAGCAGCAAATCAGGTTTCGCCTGCCTCCACTGACAGACGCATAAATCGCTAAAGTTCTTAAAATGCCAGCCAGCTCGGAGAAAAACTCTCCAGCAAAAAGTTATAAATGTTTCTCATATTTTTAACACCAAAACCAAAGCGATCCGAAGCGGGTTTTGCCATGGGATGGATCTCGTTTCTGCTCCTCAAGTTCTCTGTTTGATTTGACAACTTTGTTGGCATTCCCTCTGCGTTGTTTGTTCATTTGTGTTTGCCTTCGAACCTTTCCAACTTTTCTGCTCTAAATCGGAGCAGACAGCTTTGGACCGATTTGTTGATTTAGGTTAGGGCCTCTGGCAAAAGGTGGGCCCTGTTTTCACAGCCTCACATTCTCGTAGATTGATGAAGAATAAGCCTGACAATGCATCCACAAACATATCATTAGAGGATGTTTAAGAAGCCCCAACAAGTTGCTAGAGATGCGTTGAACTTAATTTATGTGAAGGGAGCGGGGACAAGCGGCTGAAAGTACCTGACCAAAAAACAGAAAACTTTGTGGAATTTCTAAGAAAGTTTGCATTTTTTCCAGTTTTTCTTGAACTTTAATTTTTGCAGCCAACTAATTATACTTTCTCTTTTTACAGATTGCTGCTTTTACTTATTAAATTGTTGGTAAGTTCTCTGACAAAACTGGGAAAAAGATAATTGATAATTAAATACAACACTATCCCTTTGCAAAATTAGAATAATGGCATACGACAGATTAGTATTTTTCCTAGAACCCATTTATAAAAATTTGCATTGGGAAACCCATTTCTATAAATCAGCTATTAGAGATAGAGATAATCTCAAATTCCCATTTGTAATTCCCCGGACAAATCGTATGAGTAAACAAATTATTTAAGCTAAATTGTATGCAAATAAAATTTCCTCACTTCGATCCGCACTTAACCCATGGTGAACTGAACCCCTAAAGGGTTCACCCGACCCAAGGAACCCAAGTCCACTGAACCGTGGACAAGTCGACAGCCAACAACTTTGAAGGACCACAAACAACCGGGCAAACAAAGCGAGGGAACAAGTTAACCCCGCTACGAAATAAGGCGAAATAAACTGGCGGACAGACTCGCGGACAAACATCAAAAGACAAACTTGTAAGTCCGCCAGTGGACAAGGATCGGCGGAAGATATTTTCTGTACCCCGTCAAATGTCACACGGTTCGCAGGAACTGGTTATCTGCCCTTTCTTCTCGCTCCATTTGAAGCTTACAAATCAATTTGAATTTTCCCTACTGGGATGATGATTCCACAAAACTGTTTTCACAGATCTGTTTGACATTCACTTGACACGTTGCTGTCCGCCAAATGCATAAATTAAAATTTTAGTGAAGGGACAAGCGGGTCGGGGCAAAAATGTTGTCCCAGAAACCAAATGCTAATTAATCCCACGGCTTTTCGGGGAGGGATTTAATTCCGCTTCGATGATTTTCACACACGGGCCGTCCGGTTTGCTACCTGGCCCTGATCCTCGCCATTAACCCGCTCTGAATTCCGATTTTCCTATCCCATGCATGTAATTGCACATTGCATCAGACATCCCTCCCTATTTTTGGGTAGGTAGGCGGCTAAATGTCGCCTTATCCCGGTCTCGTACATAATCTATATTGATTTCGCACAGTTTCCACGCTTTCGGGCCAGGATGTTTACCAAGATTTTTCATGATTTTCTTGACACGCGCGACGCGTCCTCAAGAGACCCTGGCAACCCTAACCCGACCTCAAAAGAAAACAAGAGCAGAAAAATAAAAATAATAGTGACAGCTGTTACTGCGTCTGCGCAACATTCCTCCACAAGGGGACCAACTGATTAGTTGTAACCGAGCAACCCTCGCCTCTCGATGGCACCCCCTCCCTTCGGCTGGCTTTGCTCTAATTTACAATACCTTTTTATTTTTATTGCCCCCTGCACCCTCGACGAGGGCATGCCAGCTTTGCCCAGAAGTTTAACACGTTTTGGGGGAATCATCCTTCCCTAGATCAACAGCATCAGAAGGATCCTTGCTTTCATTACCCACTGATCCATCTCGTAAAATTATTTGGCAGCGATTTTAGAATGCATTTTATCGTAAGGATAAATTTATGAACGATAAATAAAAAGTGTGACTTAAAGAATATTTTCTAAATTAAATGTAGTTACAAGTACTTTATATAAAATCCTGGCTTGGTTCAGCATCCGCATTGAAGGAGAGTCCTTAACATATCATGATATCAGAAGAAGTTCAAATTATGGATCAATGCTGCTATCAAATTTATTGTCCGTATTCTTTTTTTTAAGAATAATTACAAAACATAACAATTTTTTTACAATAAAAAACTTTTATTACTAAAGATTTTAGTTTTGAGGTTTTTAAACCTCTTTCTGTGAGAGTGTTTGCCCATTCGGTTTGCCAGCTGCCATTATTTGCCTTTTGTTTTTATTTCACTCTTTTTTTTGCACACCGAAAAGTGGAATGAAAATTTGTTCACCCTATTCTCAGTACTGCCAGGCGATTCCCCGGCTAGGGGTTGCATCTCCCCCTCTCGTGCTGGCTGCTTTAGTTTAGTTTAATTATTGGCTCAGTGCCGGGAGCGGAGCAGCCCTCGATTTGCCGGTGGTGCTGCTGGTGGTCACCCTTCTCGGCGAGAAGGGGCCATCGACTTTGCGTGGCTCTGTGGCCCGGCACATGTCAATGCCTGCAGTGGACTTCGGGTTCTAACCAGCTCCCTTCGAAAATCCCTCCCTTGCAGCACACTGGTGCAAAAGTGGTGGCTGTCCCGGCTAAACTTAAATAAGGATTAGGGGTTGGTGGTAATCCTCCTCTGGTAAGCAATTAAATTGGAGGAAAGAGTTATCCCAAGCTTTCATAGGCTGGGTTTCTTAAATTATTCTTATAATCTCCCAACTGGAATTATTAGGGATAAATACATAAAATTCACATGATAGATTTCAATCTTATATTCTTTGGCGGAAGATTACTTATTTAATGAGTAATTTTAACTTTCTCTTCTGCCACAAAACTCTTTGAATTTTGAGTCTTTAAAACCAAAAATATTTCACTGTGCAACGCGGCTGTGTTCCCCATTGTACGTCTGCAATTGCAGCAGCAACCACTTTCCGCTTCCTGTTGGAATTGCAGGAAACCCTGCAAGAACAACAAACACAACCAAGAACAGACGGAGCCGAAAACAGGCGACCAATTCTAATACTAGATCCTTAGGGCCTCGCCTGAAAAGAGAACTTCTGTTGCATTTCGGCAGCAACAATTACAGAGTGCCAGCAAATGGAATGGGATATAATAACCCCAACATGCGAAATTTAGCAGAGAACATGAAAGGAAGACAGGACCGAAGACTCAAATACTCTTAAGTGTTGTAAAAAATATATTTTTGTAAATATCAGCTTAAATACCCTTAAATTTTAATTATTTATCAGGGCAAGTTGAGTACAAATCGGATTGGTCTGATTTTAATATTTATTATAACCCTGTACAGCGGTTATTGTATCTGCTATACAAACATGTTACTACAAAATCGAACCCTAAAATCTTAAAATGGTTGGAAAGTTGCTGTTAAGAATTCTAAAATAAGTTTCTTCCTGTTTCCATAAAATTATAAGTTCTTGTAGTGTTAAGAAAGTAGGTCTTTATTACCACTAAGCTTAACATACCCTTTCTGGAACCGGGACAGCAACACAAGAGCCCTACAAGACCCTATCAAGAAGGCAAAAAGCGCGACATTTGCAGAATTCACCCCTCGTCGCACCCCCTCGTCCAAGTTCCACCCCTGGTTCGTTCCACTTTCCTACATTCCAACAGCAGCGACTGTCTGAAGTGGCTGGATGGTGGAAAGCGAGGAGAGGTGAGCAGTGGAAGATGTTGGTCGCTATGAAGGGGTGCTCGAACTACTGCTACTTACTATTATTTTTTTATTTTTTTTTTTTTTTTTTTTTTTTTATTTTTTTTTTATTTAATTTTTTTTTCTTAAAATTTTTTTTTTTTTTTTTTTTTTTTTTTTTTTTTTTTTTTTTTTTTTTTTTTTTTTTTTTTTTTTTTTTTTTTTTTTTTTTTTTTTTTTTTTTTTTTTTTTTTTTTTTTTTTTTTTTGTAATTTTGAAAATATAAAAATTTAAGTTTTTTTTTTTTTTTTTTTTTTTTTTTTTTTTTTTTTTTATTTTTTTTTTTTTTTTTTTTTCCCCCCCCCCCCCCCCCTTAAACAATAAATTTTTTTTTTTTTTTTTTTTTTTCCTCCTATTAAATATTTTTTTTTTTTTTTTTTTTTTTTTTTTTTTTTTTTTTTTTTTTTTTTTATAATTTTTTTTTTTTTTTTTTTTTTTTTTTTTTTTTATTTTTTTTTTTTATTTAAAAAAAATTTTTTTTTTTCCCTCCCCTTTTTTTTGTTTTTTTTTTTTTTTAAAAACCCCAATTTTTTCCCTTTTTTTTGGGGGGGGGGGTTTTAAATAGGGGCACCACCCCCACTTTAGGGTTTTCTCTTGTTTTATTTTTGGTTTTCCCTTTTAAGGGTGCTTCTTCGGGCCGTCTCTTTTGCTCTGGCTCTACACCTCCTTTTGCGCAAGAAAAGCGAACCAGGTGTAAAAGTGCGTGTGTGCTACCTTTTGCTTCTCTACTTCTGCTTCCACTCATTCTTCTTCCTTTTCCACTTCTGGATATTTTTCCTTTATTGTTTTCTTGTGGGACATCTGCCACACCATTTGATTTCATTTGGATGTGGCTCACTTCCGTTCGGGGATTTCCTTTTTTAACATTTTTTTTTGGAAGAAGGAAGCTCCCACGCTTGGGATCCACTTGGAGCCAGAGTCCGAACCCCCCACAATCCCTTCCAAGCTAATTGCCATCTCCTTCTCCCTCCTTCGGGCAGTGTCCTTTCCTGATCTTGTCCTGTTTTCCGTTCTTGCTTCGTAGGAAACGCAACAACAAAAGGCGCAAGAGATTTACTGATCGGCAAATTTCCAGGAATTCCGTGAATGGGAAAAACAAAAGCGCAGCGCACACAGAGAGAAAAAGGAGATAGAGAGAGGTATAAGATTCTCTACCTACATATGTGGTACTTCCACTGGTAAAAATATATTCCAAGTTATCTACATATATCAAAAAATATTCAAAGTCAAAGTGAATTTATAAAAAATATTCCATTGACTTAATGCTTTGATTTATTTTATGAATATTTATTGTAAAATAATTTAAAACGATTTCTTTCTTGCAAAGGACCTTTTCCCTCAGTGCACTCAACCTGAACCTGAATCTCAACCTGGGACATTTGAGGCCGCCGCTACTCTTATGAATGTACTTGGTACTTGGCCCGAAGGTTTCGGAACAGGCAACGGCAGCTTTTGTTGCCGTACCGCTCCGCGTATCCCCGTCCCGGTCGCACTCCTTGGCGGCCGGCTCCTCTCGTTATTGTTACTTAAAATAGCTGAAATGAACGAAAGAAGAAAACGTGAGGCGAGCATATCCCAAATTTGAAAACCGGTGTAGCCTGAGCCACAACCTCAGCCGCAGCCTCAGGTTTAGGTTCAGGTCCAAGTCCCGGCCCAGACCAGATCTTTTCAGATCAGATCGGCCAAAGGTAGTCCAGGTAGCCACCTCTCTCTCTCACTCGCCTCGTCCTTTCTCTTGTC